GAGATTTGCTTTAGAAGCATCTTTGCGTTCAGCTCGAGAGAGTTAATCTTATTTTCATAAGATTCACGATCAGTTCCAAACTTTCTTTCAACTTGAATGAATCTTTTCATCTCCTTCTCAAACTCTGCTCTTTCCACATCCAAATTCTTTTCTGCTGTCAGATATTTCTCCTTCTCTAAGTCCAGTAATTTCTTTAACTCATTCAGATCATTCTCAGACTTATGGAACTTCTCAGTTAAATTATTTATCTTTGTATTGTTCCTTGTAGAGTTCCTCTCAGCAGTTAGTTCATTTTGAACTTTTTGGAATTTAGAGAACAATTCGTTATTAGTCTTAATCCTTTTATTTATCTCTTTATGACATTCCATCCTGACATCATTCAAGGAATTTTTAAGTTTATCAATCTAAATTTTATGTTAATTAATCCGAGACTTGGAATCATTCTCAACTCTTTCTAACTTTTCTTTATTCTCCCGATTCAAAGTTTCAATACATTTCTCACTACAATAATTCTAAATTTTATAATTCATAATACTCTTTTCTAACTCAGCAATCTTCTCTCTCAACTCGTTTATAATATTTGCCATTAAGAAAAAAATTGATCAGTTAAGGATCTATGCAGTGAAATCAGTTAAAAGAAACAAGAACAGTTTAAGCTCAAAAAGAATAGAAAAACACAAAAACTGAAAACACACACAAAACAGATATAAGATGATCCAAAAATAAAATCTAAACACAAACAAAAAAACACGAACAAATAGAAACCTAAAAAATTAAAACTGTCCAAGTCCAAATTACACAAAACAGTTCAAGTACATATGACCCAAAAACAGAATTCCTTGGTATGATTACACCAAATGAAATGCTTGATCAATTCAACTGATTGATGTTGAAAGGAATTCTTTGATTAATCTGTGTAGCTACTTGAAGTCTGTTGAACAGCACCAAGCTATCCACTGTTATTGCTGCTGCTGTTATTACAATCAAAATGAAACTGCTTTCCACTCTGTATGCTTAAACCATTTGCATCTTGGATTGGTGCTGAGCTGCTACTGTATAAATTGCTTCTGTATAACTGTAACCAGACAAATCAGACACAGCAATACCTCACTGTCAAATTGAAAACAATTAATGCATAAACTGTGAAATTTTAACTGAAAACAACAGCAAGTTTGATGTTGTAAACAAACTGTTTCAAACAGTCACAATGATGAATACAGAAGTACCTAAACTTGCTCAAGTCACTCAACAATCTGTGTTTCACATGAAGCTCAACAATCTGTGTTTCTTCACTAATGCTCAAACTCAATCAAAACAGCAATTGATTCAACACTCAAGACTACTCAAAGCTAGCAGTCTGCTATACAAACAACATTAAAATACATTTTAAGCCTCAAATCTTTAAAGAAACAGCAAGAGCAAACAACTAAAAACAGTTCAGATTAAATCAATTTAAAACTGTGCTATTACCAAAATGAAGCTGCTTTTTTCAGTCCTCAAATTGTAAACACATAAACAGAAACCTTCTATAGTACTTGCTGTTACAAATAGCTGTCCAATGTTGTTGTTGCTGCTGCAGTCTCCACACCAACAGCTTCAAAAAAACTGTGTAGCTAATAGAAGCTCTCAAAATGATCCAAATCAAACAGTTTAAGAATACTATCAAATCTGCTTAAAACACACAGCTTAACAGGTTCCTGCACCAAAATTGACAGTCAATCTTGTACCAAGTAACTACAAAACCTTGAAGAAACAGCAGGAACAAACAGCTTTGTCCCACCTGTGTGTTTAAACTCAGGTCAATAATTAGTAACAAATTCACTCTTCTTTGTGAATGTGTTAGCTGCTGTTTCAGCCCTGCTGTGTATCGCTTAAACAGCCAAGTCAAGTTTTGCTTCTGTTACAGTCCTGCATTAGTTCCTCACAAATCTACAGCCCTCTCTTCTTGTTCACACACAACCTTCCCACAAGACAAACAAATACACCAGTTTGTGCCTACGGGCTTTACACTTCCAGAATCTCAAAATCAAACAGCAACGGCTTCAAAACTGCACTCTTTTCACTTTGTCCCACCTGGGCTGTTATACCATTCCTCAAAGAAACAGCAAGATGGAACTCAAAAACAGATTTTGAATTGCTCAAAGCACAAAAAAAAATTGTTAGTCCTTACCTTCTATGCAATTGCAAGCAAAAAGGATGAAAAACAGGTTGTTAGTTCTTACCTGTAATTGAATTGCTATTACAGTCTTAACATAGGCAACAGCCTCACCAACAGCAATCAAGATGCCAAACAACTTATATCTATATCCAAAAATATCATCAGGCTTTCAGAGTCGTTGAAATGTTGCTGCTGCATCAAATCAATACAGTAACCTGTATAATACTCATTGCAATAATTGGCCGAAGGATATGCTCAGCCTAACTCGAACTCAAACAGATACTCAAACTCAGAAAGTTTTACCTGAGCAATTTACCAAATTAGATCAAGAAACAGTAGCAAACGATTTAGACCAAATCTGAACAGGGGATGAACGATTTTACAGATCCTCAAAATCAAACAGCCTAGAAACCTGTTAAACAGTAGCAATTTGTGCAAATCTCCTTATTGTGTTCATCGATTAAGATCAAGACTGGTCACAATCTGTTTACAGTATTGATCGATTTAGATCAAAACTGAACCTTTCGATTAAGCCAAACGATTATCTATCCGGTCATTAGTCCGCTCAAGAGATGATCGGTTTAGGTATAAACCGCTCAAACTAAAACCTTAAGATGAAATTGAAAAGAAACAACAAACCTGTTGAGTTGTGCGATTTATAATCCGATCACGATGATTGTGCGGTTTAGCTTAAACCACTCAAGGCTTGTGAAAATCCGCTCAAGTAATCCGATGAAGCTGTGTGCGGTTTAGACTTGGATTAGAAGCCGATTGATGCGATGAAAACAAACCGGAGAACAATCCTTCGATTTAGGAACAAACCGGTCAACTTGAATCCTATCAATCTACACTTAATAGGTTGAGCAATCTGTGATGAAGATGACCAAGACCTAGTGCGATTCCTTATCCGGTCAAGAAGTAGCAAACAATGTGGCCCAAGACTTATCCGGACACTTATCCAGTCAAAAAAAAATTTGGGCCTAAAATGAATTGGACTTTTGAAATTGGACGGTTTAACAACAAATCAAACAAACTAAAATTCAAAAACAGATTAAAACCTAACAAAAACACAAAAACAAAAAAAACTTTTAAAAAAAATGGATCAAAAACACTGGTTTAAAGAAAAAATTCAAGAACACAAAAAAAATTCTAAAAACACAAAATCCACCAAAAATTAAAATTCGAATGATCAAATCACAAATCTTTGTGAATAACAAAGATTCACAATTCAATTTCGAACATTTTGATCCTGTTTTTAACACAAAAACACAAGATTTTACGAAAAAAATCAGATCAAAATCTAAAAAAAATAAAGAACACGAAGAACAAAAAAAATTCAGAAAATAAAATCTTCACTTATCTCTGATCTCTTAATCTGATTTCTTGCAAACATGCTCTGATACCAATTGTTTGTCCCTATTCACTGATCAATCTTCATGTTAGCTTCACAATCATGGCAGAGCTGGATATTGCATTAAGAACATGTATATGAATATTGAGATAGAAAGTCAAGATCTTTCAATATGGTCAACTCTGATATTACGTATATGATTTACAAAATGAGCTCTCTTCTTTACAAATTACAAAGACAAACCATATTTATATGGTCAAACATCTAAAGACAAGTCAAAGTCAAACTCCTATAAGAAAAGTCAAACACGCTGACTTTTACAATTATAGACTATATTTAACTTTCAAGACGAATACAATTAATACTGATTTTCAGTCCTAACACTT